ATAGAATTACACCTGATATCAAAAAGCATAAAAAGGAGAAATTATTATAAGAAAAATAATAGGGAAGAAAATTAATCAAAAGAATAAGAAAAAAATGTATTTAGAAATACTGACAATAATAATAGCGATAGTAAGTATAGTATATACAATAACAAAACATCACCAGAAGAAAGAAAAAAGAATACAAGGATATAAAGAAGAACCAATAGTATATATCGAAGATTATACTACTAGAAATATAAACTATTTTAGAATTACGGTAGTGGGTCCCGTGAAAATATCAAAAGAATTATATGAGAAACAAATACAAGAAATATCTAAAGAAAGATATATAGAAACAAGGAATGAACTAAATTCAGATGGAGAAATCATCAGAAAAACGATAAGATATTTAATCTAAAGAATTAGATAAGGAATTTAATAAAGGATTAATAATCAGAATTTCAAGAAGATGAATAATCAAGAAAATTATTTACTTATAAAAGGAATAAAAATTGGACGAAGAAGGAATCTTCACTCATGAAGAGTTAAAAAAATAAAAATATATCCCCAAAGAAATAAAGAATTGATCGAACAAATTGAACAAATTGAACCTTACAAAACATTTACAAGAAAAACAGAATTTAATTAACCAATTAATTGAAGAAATATCAGAAGAAAAATTAAGAAGAAATAGAAAAATTAGAATATTAAAAGAAAGAAACTTAAAATTAAAAGAAAATAATTTTAAGTTAAAGATAAAAATAAACACTCTAAAAAGTATATAGAAAATATACGAATTAAAAAAGAAGGAAAGAATTAAAAAATTAGAAAAACGGAAAAATAAATACAAACAACCCAATAATGGCAGGATTAGCACAGAAACTAAATGAAGAAAGAAATGAACTAAAACTCATTACAGAATTTAATGAAATAAAAATTAAAAATATAGGATCAATACCAGAATATGATGGAAATAGAGACAAAACAGACCAATGGATAAGACAAGTGGAACAATGGTTAACAGGATATGGATTACCAAAAGGAAATGAACCTATGCAAATGGCAGACGGAACGGTAGTGCAAAATCCATTAGCAGGAATAAATAACGAAGCGGAACCAGGAATACAATGGAAAGCAATCAAACTAAAAAGAAATTCAGCAAATGATGTAGATATAAGTAACTTTGCAGTAAATCCAGAAAGAGATGGAAGTGAACTTATTTTAGCAACAGTAGGAGGAAGTCCCCCAAATTTGACAAGACAAGCAGGGAGAGTTGGAAGATTGAATACAACATTTGATGGACCAGCAAATGATTGTTTAAGAACAAAAAGGATAATAGAAATTATAGCAACAAGATTTTCAGGAGAAGTGAAAATAGCTTGGGAAAACACTCAAGGAGATACAAGGCCTAGAACATGGGAAGATCATAGATTTATTGGAGAAGCAGGATTAATACCAGCAGCGATAGGATTAAAATCGTGGATAACTAATAATTTCTTAAGCATAGTAAATCCAGAATTAAATTACGCTAAATTCATGAACATAAAAATGACATCAGAATTTGAAACAATACAAGAATATAATGTATACTTCAATAATCTACAACGATTAGCAAAACAAGAAAATATGGAAAGGAGAAATTTAATTGGACATTACCTAAGATCATTACCATCATGGGTAGAAACCAAATGTAGAAATTGGTTAGCTACAGAAGAAGCACAAGGAAAATTCCCAGAATTAAGAGGAAATATAGGATCAATTCAATCATTTTGCATTGTAATTTATTCACAAATAGAAAGACGGAATGGAGAATTAGGAATGAGGCTTAATCAAAAAAGAAATTATGGAAGAAAAATTCAAGAATTAAATGAAGAAAATGACAATTACAATGAAGAAATCGAAGAATTACAAGAAAAAATAGAAGCATTAAGAATGAGAGCAACAATATTTAAAAACCCAAAATCTAACAGAGATACAATGTCAGGAGAAATTATTGATGGAAAGACGGAAACATTTTCATGGCAAAATAAAGAATCAAAAAGATCAAGAGGATCATTCAGAGGGAAATCAAAAGGAAGTTATAAACCAAATAAACTAAGAAACGAAGACAGAAATTTTGATAACCAAAAAGGAAACTTTAGAGGAAAAACCAACTTCAGAAGAAGTAATAATAGAACAAGAAACTCAGGAACAAGGATGTCCTGGGAAGACCTAGAAGAACTAGAAGAAGAAGAAAATTATGAAAATGAACGAATTGAAATGATGGAAGAAGAAGAATCGGAAGATGAACAGACAAAAATAGTAGAAATTCTAGGAGACGAAGAAATAGAAATTCCAAGAAAAATCCAATCCTCAAAAGAAAAAGGAAGGAAATATGAAGAAAAAGTTATTACAGAACTAAGAAGCAAAGGAATACAAGTAATTGCAACAAAAGAAAGCGTAGAAGGAATAAATATTGGAGATAGAGGAATAGATTTTATGATCCAATCACCAAAAGGATTAGTATTCGGACAAATTAAAGACTGGAATAGGAAAGTAGGAGCAGACAAAGTAAAAGAATTAATAGTGACAGTGTCAAAAACAAAAGGAAGTAAAGGAATACTTATATCAAAATCAGGATTTACAAAACCAGCGTACGAAGAAATTGAAGAAAGAAAAGACATAGTATTATCAAATGGAGCAGATATAGAAGAAAAAATTCAGGAAGTAATCTCAATAGAAATAGAACAAAGAAAAAGAATTAGAGAAACAAAAATA